TTCCCTCCCCTTTCCTCTCCCTGAGATGCCACTTCTTTAAAGCTGTTTCCATCATTTGACCAATCCCCCTCCCCTGTGGATGCTCTCTTTTGTTTGCCTGCTCAGGCCAGCACACATTCATTTGGCTGTCCTGCCCTTTGCTGCCCCAAAGCGCCCCGTTATTGAGCTACTCCCAGCCCTGCTTCATAGCCATGACACCTGCGAGCGCTCTCCCTTGGCAGTGCCAGGTGAATTACCAGGCCTCTGCTTAATCCTGTAGAAAACCCTCTATTTAAGCCAGCTCCTGCAGGGGCAGCGGAGTGCGAGTAGGGCCACCCATTCAAGAGCCCGGGCTAGTGCCGGTCTGATTGACCGCGTGGGGAGGAAGGCCCCAGTACAAGCAAGACTCGGATGGCACGTGGGCAAGTGGAGAGGGAGACACTGCAGTAGTGGTTGTCGGAGAAAGAAGGCTGGATGGGGGCCCTGCCTCCAGTTCAGAGCTGGACTGCATCTCGGAGCTCCCACCCAGACACACAAGGCCTCCCAGCTGGGGAGAAACAGGTAGGCTTGAGCTGGGGATGAGGCTGGACTCAGGCAGCACTTGTCTACGCCTCCATTGCAGCGGCTGCGCCCCCAGAGCATACCACTGACTGTCTTCAGGTGGGAGGTTTCCTGGTATATTTGGTGTCTCGTCTGGATAGCTATCTGGTTTTCTGCATTGTCTCTCTCATTTCGTTTTTTTCCATGAGCTGCTTCACTTTCTATAACGAGTAAACAATAAAGCGATTTCCCATTGGTGGAAATTTACTGAGGTTGTATACCTCGCATGCCTGGGGGTTCTGTTGATGCCGGCTGAGGCTGGGTGATAGGCGATGGTCCCTGTTTCTGAGGCTGTCGGGGGAGCAAGGAAGGGTAGCAGCACTGTGGAACTGGTCCTGACTCTGGTGACAGAGGCAGTCGCTGGGCTGGTGGGTGGGGAAGGGGATGGTGGCGCTGATGGGGGGAGGGGAACTACCGGACACTGGAAAAAGGCCCCACAGACAGAGAGGCTCAGCCTGGGGAGTGTGGGGAGAGCAGACGGGGAGCACCTGGATAGGTTGTCATGCCTCTCTGACCACCTTGACGACCATTAGGGTGCTCTGGGCAGGGGCTGCCACGCCCGTGAGCCCTTGGGCTCGTGGCGCGGCAGGTGTTCAGCAGCCTTGTCCAGTCTCGTCCCTGACACTGCTGGCAGCTCTCCCTGCCTTCTCCCGTCACTGTGCCTGCTGGCTGGCCGCCCAGCTGGAGCCTTGCAAGGGAGACCAGATCCCAGCTGTCCCAGGGAAGCAGTAACGCCGTCTTCCTTCCTCTCATCTCCAGAAATGTCTTTCCTCCAGGACCCAGGTTTCTTCGCCATGGGAGTGTGGTCCATCGGTGCAGGGGCTCTGGGGGCTGCAGCCGTGGCCCTGCTCCTGGCCAACACAGACCTCTTTCTGGCCAAGCCGCAAGAAGCATCGCTGGAGTACCTCGAGAGCATAGATCTGAAAACGCTGGGCAAGGGTAAGAGATGGCCCGCGCAGCTCAGTACTTTTCCAAGGCATCGGGCCCGGGGTTTCTTTAGTTTTCTTCTGCATTCAGCTCTTTGTTTATTATTAGGGGGAATTTAAGAACACTTTTTAAATGACCAAGAGCTCCAGTCTGCTGGCATGATAACCACTTTTATTTTGGCGCACCCCTTCCCCCGTACGCTACGCGTATTGTTAGGTCCTGGTGATGGGGGGGTGTGTGTGTGCTGTTTTGCAGTTTAGCTTCTCCTTTCAAAGCATATTTCACTCTGTTGTTGTCGTCTCCATGACCATCATCCCAAATTTCTCCCAGATACTTAGCAATATTGAATTATCAACCAAGCCTTTCCAGGTGTGTTCTGAGGGATTTCAGACCCAAGAGGGCTTCTTGGAAAGGGGGTTCCCGGGTCACATCAGTTTGAGAAATGCTGTTTGTCCCCTCCTATGATCCTGGTACTCAGCACAGGGGTAGGATCACTGCGGTGAGCCGTCACCAGCGGGTCAGCCTCCGGAGAAGCTCGGCCAAGTCCTCTCTGGATGACCCTCCGGTCAGCCTGTTCTCGGGATGTGCCCGGAGTCCCTCCCGGACAGCTCAGGACTGCACACTCGAACCGGTGGCTCTGCCACCTCACTGGGTGCCCTTGGCATTGGCTCTGAGCTCAGCGGGATTTTTAGGTGTGTCTTTAGTGCAGGGGCAGTTGTTGTGAGCGCCTGGCAGGTGGTCAGAGCTCTTCAACTAGGGAGTCGTCAGCTTGGCCCTGCAAACAGAAGCCACTGTTGTCTGTCCACTATGTTGAGGGCAAGCAGGAGCACTGACCATACACGTTCATAATGTAGGCTGCCTTACTAAGGGACTAAAAAGCCTTACAGAAAGACGCCTGTTTAACTTAGTTTAACTCAATATTCCCCAATCTTGCTTGATTATAGATTCCCCACTGCCCAGCCAAACTTTTTTGCTAGCATACTGTGAGTAGACAAGGATCCCCGTGGGATGTACTAGATAATAAAGGTCTGTGGTCACTGGGCCCTCTCTACCATCAGACTCTGGGGTGAGCACTTTTATGTTCATCTTTCAGTACACTGCAGCCCATAGTGGTAGCTGCTGTTGCTACCGTTGTAAAACAAATCAGGAATCTGAGCTTGAGAGAGAAGATTCAGACTCAAGCCAGGCTGACCAGGGAGCTGGGACTCCAAGTGAACGCCTATCCTGCCAAGAATCATTTCCTTCCTGGGCGTTGACTCTTGACGACCCTGTGTCCGACGGAAGGACACACGGCTCGGTCCCGTGCCATCCTCACGGTTGTTCTCATGTTTGGGCCATCTGCTCGCCCTCCCCTTTTGATAGTGTTGCAGCCACATGTGGAGTTTAATTCATTCCTCTTGACTGAGCTGTTTTTGAACACACCTGAAGAGCGTTTTTGTCAGAGTGCAAGATTACTCCAGATTTGGGCCTTGCTCCTCCGTGAAGGAGCCTTAAAATGTCCAAAGACGCTAGTGAAAGAAAGAAGTCGCTCTTTTCCAGGAATCTCCCAGTTCAGGATTTTCAAGTTTAAAAATAGATCTCAGGAGGATGCTTTGGGGTATACCATAGTATCCTCACGCTACATTCATTTTCCTCAGGAGGCTGAACATCTATCTGTATTTCCTACTCACCGTCTCCCACCTATGAAATAATAGTAGTCCTTGCTCTCCGCTGGATCTGGTTTCTGACCTGCGAGGGGTCCATCGGGTTGAGGACATGTCCATGGGGATCCGGTGGGCTGGGCCTGGGCTGGCAGAGATGCTAACCCCCTTGCCTTTCTCTCAGAACCTAGGACTTTCAAAGCAAAGGAGCTCTGGGAAAAGAACGGCGCCGTGATCATGGCTGTGCGCCGGCCGGGCTGTTTCCTCTGTCGAGAGGTGAGTGCGTCTGGGGGTCTAGCAAATTGGGCAGCGCGTTTCCCACCAGGAACAAAGGTCTGTAGGTCCACCTTAGCCTTCAGTCAGCGCTGGCTGCTCTCTGTTGTCCGCCTAAGGTCTTTCCTTGACCTTACACTCCTGTTTCAGCTCATTGAACAACTCTCCCCTTCCTGCTGGCTGACCTTATTGTAGGACCTCCCCGCCCTTTGACCCTCCTGCCTGTGTCCTGGACTGCCTTCCCCTTTCAGCCAGGGACAGTGCTGATGCTCAGCACAGGAGTAGGATGTTTGGGTTGAGAGGTTTAGTTTACTACGGATATGGGATGGCCAACCCTTACCTGGGGTCAGCTATAACACACGGAGAAACTCTGAAAGGCACACTTGGGGGATGCCCTGCCAGTCTGCCCATTCTAGGGAGCTGCTTGGAGTCTCTCTTGGACAGCTAAGGACTGCACACTCGGACCGGCAGCTCTGCCACCTCACTCTGTGCCCTTGGCATTGGATCCGAAGCTCAATGGGATTTCAGTCGTGCCAGTAGTATGGGTGCATGAGACCTTAACAGGTAGTTGTCGGAGCTCCTCCACTGGGTGGTCTCTGACCTGGCCCTGCAAATGGACGCCGCTGCCACCCATCCGGCACATCGAAGAAAGGGAAGGCGCTGTTCTTGGAGCACAGAATGCTGGAGAGGTGGCCGACACCGCTCGATCCTGATGCACAGCAGTACCTCCCATATCTCTGTCAATGCCCGTGTCTCCTTGGTCCTGGAAAGAGTTTGCTGTCCACATCTTACAGAACAGGAAACAGGCAGAGAGACCCTATAATCAAGTTACCCCAGTGTTGGGAGATGTGGGCTTTATACCAAAATTAGCACAAATACAGTAGCTTACAAAAACACATCATCTTCCGATTTTGGAGATCAGGAATCTACAGTAGGTCTCACTCAAATTCAAGGTGTCTGCAGGGCTGATTCCTTTTGGGGGCTTTAGGGAAGAACCTATTTTTTTGTCTCTCGCTGTTAGGGGCTTCCTGCATCCTTTGGCTTGTGACCCCTTCCTCCATCGTCAAAGGTAGCAATGGCTAGTCAAATGTTTCTTCAATAGAATCGCTCTTACGTTGACTTTTTCTTCCCTCTTCCACATTGTAGGGCCTTTGTGATTATCCTGGGCCTGCTCCAAGGAGATAACTCAGGTTGATGCCCTTATTTTACAGTGCCCTCAAGGTGTCCCATCTTAGAGCCTATGTATAGCAGGGTGAGACACCACCCAGTCCTGCCCCATCACTGCAGTCATTGCTGTGTGTGAGTCCCTTGTGGCAGCCACTGTGTCAGTGTACCTCCTTAAGAGTTCTCCTCTCTTTCCTTGACCCTCTACCTTACCAAGCATCATGTCCTCTTCCAGGGACTGACCCTTCCTCATAATATACCCACTATGAAAGATGAAGCCTCGCTACCCTCAGTTCTAAGGAGCATTCTGGTCAGACCTCTTCCAAGACAGAAATCAGCCCAGGACATACGTACGATGCTTGACCAGCACCGTAACCAAAAGACATCTATTCTGTGACCTCTCTTGTTCATTGTCCAACTTCCACATGCATATGAGGGGGTTAAAAATACATCATTTGGGTCAGTTGCGGTTGTATCTTCAAAATGGCACGTTTACTTCTTAACACTTTTATGTTTTACTTTTTAAAACCTTTTTATTGTGAATTGAGTGAAAGCTTACAGAGCCGAATGAATTTTTCATTCAATAATCCATGCACGTTTTGTTTGATGTCGTCGATTGCCTTTCACATCGTGTGTTACCACGCATCCGAATTTCTCCTTGTGCCTCCTGTGTCCATTCTTCCCTCTTTCCTAATCCTTCCTGCTTTCTGAACTTTGTTCTTGGACACATGCTTCCCTTTTGATCTCAAAGGGTTGATTTTTCTAAGTAGTGTGTACCTACTTAGTGCTATTAATTGTATAGACCTATTGTTTGGCTGAAAATTGAGCTCCAGGGGTAAGCCCTGTCTTTTCGGGAATTTAGAGTTCATTCCACATGTTTCTCCCACTCTATCTAGAACCTGCTGATGAGATCCCTGGAGCCCTGGTGGCATAGTGAGTTACAAGTGGGGCTGCTAAACCACATGGTCAACAGTTTGAAGCCACCAGCCACTCTGCTCCACGGGAGAAAGATGAGGTTGTCTCCTCCCGTAAAGATTCCCAGTCTTGGAAACCCACAAACACCGTTCTACTCTGTCCTGTTGGGTCGCTATGAGTCAGGATGGATTGGAGGGCAGTGAGTGAAAATGTGATTCCGTTCAGAAATGAGCAATGATAGCCAGGTACTGTCTAGTTCCTGTCTCAGGGTTCGGAGGCTGAAGTTCCAGTGGTCCATGAGTCCTTTGATTAGGTATTTCTGTGTGTCTTTGATTATCTTCTCTCTGTTTTGGACCGTGAGAGATCTTAGATGGCTGCTTTCACTATTTTAAGACCTTGGTCAGTACTCAACTCACGTAGGATGTAGAATATTTTCGTGTGGACAATGTCTCAACACTTGTTAAAACGTTTTATTGTGGCTCAGATGAGTGTTTACCGAACAGGTCATCAGTTTTACATTCAACGGTTCATACACATCTTGCTCCAGCTCATGTCCCATTACTTATCCCACTTCTTCTCTATGCTTCCTGCTACCGTTCACCTTTCTCCTAACTTTCTGAACTCTGTCCTTGGGCAATGCTGCCCTTTTGATCTTGAATGGTAGACTGTTATAACACAAGTGGTCAGTTCCAGACCTGACGGGTGGCTAAGGGTTAGAGTCTTGGGAGTCCCCTCTGACTTGGGGAGTCCCCATCCTAGATGAGCCCCATCCATTCAAGAAGCCTGGTCTCTTTTAAAAGTTTTTTGAGTTTTGTTCCATGTTTTTTGCATACGCTAACCAGGATCTTCTAATGGGATCCTTTTCAGACCATTGGTAGCAGTCGCCGGGCACCAGCTAGTTCATCTGGTCTCTGAGTCATGGAGGCTGGTGGTTGAATGGTCCATCAGTCCATTAGATTAAATTTTCCATAGGTCTTTTGATTTTCAACATTTTTCTCTGGACAAGAAGAGACCACTGATTGCACCTTAGATGGCTGCTGTTTTTGACACTTTAAAGAGGTCATTTGTAGCAGATTTGCCCAACACACTGTGCCATGTGCTCTCTTTGCTGTCACTTTTGTGGGCTCTGAGTGTGGATCCAAAGAAGATAACCCCCTTGACAGCTTCAGTCTTACCTTCCTGTATCATGATATCTATTCCAGTCGTGGGGATTTGGGGTTTGGTTTTGTTTTGTTCGTTGAGGTATAATCCGTGCCGAAAGCTGTAATTGCTGCTCTTCATCAGTTCGGGCTTCCTCATCAGTAAGTGCTTCAGGTTCTCTGTGCTTTCTTCAAGCCGACTTGTATCATCTTCATATCACGGGAGGCGGATAGTCTTCTTCCAAACGATTGCTGAATTCTTGGTGATGCGGTCCAGCTTCTTGAAGTGCTTGCTCAGCGTACAGGTTGGATAAGCATGGCGATGCACACCTTTCCTGATCTTCAACCATGCCATGTCCCCTTGTTCCGTTTGAACAGCTGCCTGCTGTCCATAATGTGTTATGAGCCACACAATCAGATGTCTTTGCACAGGTCCGTTTATAACCATCTTAATTCCGTCTGCAACCTGATTCCACCTCCCTGGGGAGTGTAACTAGTCCCAGGTTCCTGGCTCCAGATAAACCAATCTGAAAGTTTGTGGCCTGGTTTTTTTCAGGACTGCTAAGCCTAAAAGGGTCAAAGAATAGCTGCTGTCCCTGATTGTCATTTGTTTTCTTCTCCTCTGACCTGTGTCCTGGCAGAGCATTTTGTGAAAACTTAAATTTCTGAAATGTGTGTGGGGTGGTGGGATGAGTCATTTCGAGTAGCCTGAGGAGGAGGTGTGTGACTCAGTTTCTACTTAACGGCTTTCCAGAGAGACACACCCAGAGAAAAGAGCCCCGGGAAAGTGATTAACATCTTTCTGCTAACAAACAGGCAAGCACGAATTACAGGTGACCTCCACATTGTCCTCTCTGCTCTGGGGTGGAGGTTGCCATGCACTGAAGCTCTTGTGTGCTTTGTACGTTGTCATTAACTACTTCATTTGCTGTGCTTTTGTTCTAAAAAAAATAAACGACAAGTGTAGTTGCCACAACATATTTTGTATTGGAGGTCTTGCGTTTTGTATTGGAGGCAAGCAGTTGTTCCTAATACCAAATGTGAAAAAATAATTTGTTCTTACGGTTGAAGTCTCGCCGTGACACATGCAATTTATTCATCCAACACACATTTCCAAAAGTCAGGGAGGCCTGTCCTGTTTAGCTCAGCTGCATTCTCCCTGTTGACCTCCTGATTTTCCCCTGTAATGTCTAATGGTTTCTGTATACCCAGCCATGTGCTCAGCACCAGAGGAGAGCAAGAAATGGGAGACACACTTTCTAACGATGACACACCTTTGACACCACGTGGGTGACAATTCTGAAACAGGTGGTCACATGGAGGCTAAAGAAGAAAAAAGTCACCAGGCAGGGAGATGGGGTGTACTCAGAGAATGGGGGGTTCACTCTAGGCTAGCCAGGGAGCACTTTCTTACACAGAAGTACCTTCCCAAAGGTGGGATTTTTACTAGAGAAGGGAGGAAGGTTATTGGAGGGGAGGGGCCGACTGAACATGGACATGGAGACAGCCATTTGTACACTGAGTGAATTTTCTGATAGACCCCTGGGGCGAGTTCAAGGGCAGGGGAGGGGCTGGGAGAGGCAGAGGCATTGTGGAGAGAAGAATGTAGGACCATGTTTACATGCAGTCTCTACTGCCAGGACACCCCTAACCAGGGCCTGCCCTGTCTTTTCCCCCATGTCAGGTTAAGACGCCTGGGCTAGGGAAGGAACTTGAACCCTGGACTGAGACCCAGTGCCAGCCAGGACAGGCGTATGCTAGGCTGTACAGGGCTAGAGTGCCTGGTGGTTTAGCTGCCTCTGTTCCTCCATATTCAGGGCTAGCTCTGCTTGAGAGCTGCAGGGAAGTGGATGGCTGTTGACTGCAGGGCCACAGGCATGCACAGATCCGAGCTCCTCTCCTCTGCCTCCTACAGGAGGCCACAGACCTGTCCTCCCTGAAGCCCAAGTTGGATGAGCTGGGTGTCCCCCTCTACGCAGTGGTGAAGGAGCACGTCAGGACTGAGGTGAAGGACTTCCAGCCGTATTTCAAAGGAGAAATCTTCCTGGATGAAAAGGTGTGTGTACTGACGCCATCAGAGCAGGACTGATGGGAAGGGGACTGTGCCAGCTGTGTGTGTGTGTATGTGAGAGAGAGAGAGAGAGAGAGAGAGAGAGAGGCGCTCTCTGGCCTGGAGCTAGAGACTGCTTCCCTTTTAGCTGCTCTGACCTTGGGGGGATTTCCTGACCCTCTGTGTGGAGAAAGCATAACTAGACACTTACAGGCTCTCCCCACAGTGACCGCTGAAACCATTCTTAAGGTTTGACCCCTAAGCTAGGCACTAGCTGAAGCTCCATTGGGTCCCTGCCACTGTGCTTATAAGGATCTCGTACAAACCCTGACCCTAACTCAGAGCAGCACATTCTTTCCCTCCACCGCACCCTTCCACAATGCAGGTCTGTCACAGCCCTGTCAACAGCGCAGAACCCTGTGCGTGGTTAATGAGAGGTGAAAGCCAGGGTTCAAAGCTGTGGATCTGTTGCCCCAGGCTGGGCTTGCTCTGTGCTTGGAAGGTGCACCCAGCAGAGTTTTCTGGGTTTGGGGGCAGCTTGAAGGTGATCCTATGTGTTGGCCATGTATCTTGGGTGGAAGGAGTACATGAACCAGGAGTCTGGGTCTTTGCCTGAGGAGGCATCTCCTACTGGGAACCTTTCCTCCTGGGGGAGAGACAGGCGTGCACCTCCATATATAGCCTTTCTGTCTCATTCCTGCAGAAAAAATTTTACGGTCCCGAAAAGCGGAAGATGATGTTTATGGGATTTGTCCGTCTGGGTGTCTGGTACAACTTCTTCCGGGCCCGGAACGGAGGCTTCTCTGGAAACCTGGACGGCGAAGGCTTTATCCTCGGAGGAGTTTTTGTGGTGGGCTCGGGAAAGCAGGTACATTTCTAGGAGTTCACGTATGGGTCTGTGGGGGTCTGTGGGTGGGATATACACACAGGACTCGCTTCCCGGACTTCACGCCTCCCCGCTGCTCTTCGAATCTGAGGGAAGGAGGGACTTGTTACATGCAGCCTCACACATGCATTGTCGTCATTGCCTAGAGAGGTGCTAATAGCTTTGGCATTTCTCAGACATTGACCTTGAGACTGAGGGGGGCGGTGAGTAACTGCACAAGCGTCCAGGTCGCCAGTGGCACTATGAGGTGCTGAGCCCCCAGGGGTTCTGTTTGCTGTGCTGAAACCATAGCATGGTTGGGCTTGGCAGCTCCGGTTGGATCTCCGTCATGGAGTCAGAGCTGGGACGGGCTTGAGTGGATGCGGCCTCTAAAGCAAGGAGAGAGGACCAGGGGGATCGTAGTCTGACCGCGAGGCCTGACCCTGCCAACCTTGGGCATGGCATTGACATTCCGCCTCATCTCTGAAGAGGCAGAATTGGTGGCTCTCACTACTGAGGTTGATAATCATAGGCTTTTCCCAATTTAGTTAGTGAGGCTATATAAAATAGAGCTTACAACGGGGGATTTCAAATCTCTTTAAACCTTGGCAACTCTGCTGCTTGTCGGTACCACAGTCTTACCATGATATGGCATCTGATGAGCATGTAAACACAGGTGTTCATCTTCCCTTCTCTGTATCCTTGGTCTGGGTACTTTGTCACCATATCACAATGTCATTCTAATCATGGCTGCCATGAGGGCCTGCCCTGTTCTAGGTCCTTACACACACGATTGTGCTTCTCACAACTGATCCGATCTGGAATGTGAAGTATTTTATCCCCCTCCGCATGTATGCAAGTAGACAGGAAATAACTCATAGCCCCCTCCCCCCCCTCCCCCCCGCCCCACCAGCACCTCATCAGTACTCTCGTGCAGGAGTGAGATCTGTCCAGCTCCAGGGACTGCCCTTTCCCGCTTGTCTCCTCTCTCGATGGGTGGAGCCCAGGACCTCTTCCAGATGCCCTTCACTCGGGCAGGCAAATTCCTGAGGCCCACGCAGCTCCTCCCGCTGGACACCTGCAGGCTTGGGCTTTCAAGCTCCTGCCCACACTCGGAGTCTCTGCTTCCCTAAAGCCCTCGGGGCAGGGCTTAGCCCACTGGCCAGCCCCCTCTTGCCTGGCGCTGACTCACCGGGAGCTCCCGGGCATCCTGAGCTGGCTGGCACACTCCTGGCGTTGCTAGGTGTGCTGTTTGCCTCTGTTGGTGCTCCCTGGAGCTCCCCGGCCTTGCCCGCCCTAGTGGAAGTGTGACTAGGCTGGCTCGCTTCCAGGACTCACTGCAGGGTTCCTTGAGATCAGTTATTGCGGTCACGTTGTCCTCAGAGGGAATTGCCTTGGTGTAAACGGAGTAGATTTCATCCCCTTAAGGCTGAACTTCTCATGGGCAGGGCCCAGCAAGATGCCCATCTGTGTCCTGCTGCCCAACAGAGAGCTTGCTGAGTATCCCGGGTGCCGCAGAGGGGAGGTCCTGTGTGGGGATGGTGGGGACTGTGCAAACCGTCTGCTTGGAGAGCAGAAAGTGGGAGGTAGGAGCTGCGCGGTAAACCCAGCCACCCGACCAGAACCCAGCCGGGCTTTTTGTTTGGACATTTTACAAAATGGTCTCTTCTCAAACTAGCTCATCTGTCTTTGCTTAACGGTCTATCGTGAACATCTTCCCATGCCCTGAGCGGTCTTGTTTAGCATTTCAGTGGCTAAATAAAGCTTGATTGAGCGAGGACAGAACATTTCCTGATTGGCCTCCCTGTTGTCATTACAGCATGGATGTGATTTTTATAGTGCCCGCATTTGCCGTTTGTTTAAAATGAGTCCCCCAGGTGTATGTAGTGCCCCGAGAACTACATCCATAAGGATTCTGTGGTGCTGGTCTCAAACACATGCTCTTGCTCTTTTCCCCACTTTCAGGTAGCTTTGGGTTCTGCTATTCTGTCTAATTTCTTAGCAACACTAAAGGAAAGAGCAGCCCTCACGTCCCAGATGGGCTGCATCCCCCCGAGCTCCATTTCCACAGCTTCAGGCTCTTCTGGGTTAGCTCGTTCTGCCCGCTTACCTTCCACGGACCCACCTGGCAGAGAGCTGTGTTAGGCACACAGCCTTCCCTGATTGGCTCTGTGATTCCCCATGCTCGACTTCCTGCCTCTCAGGTGCAGCCAGGACAGTGCAGGTATTGTGCAGCCTGTTGTCCTGTCTACTGTCCCCTTTGGGCGGAACTTCTCATGGGCAGGGCCTGGCCAGATGGCCAGCACAGAGCCCGAGGAACAGCCAGGTGTCCACATCCGTCTTTATGAATGGACCAGTGACCCAGAATGAAGACTGATAACCCCTCTTGTTCCCTTGCAGGGCATTCTTCTTGAGCACCGAGAGAAGGAGTTTGGAGACAAAGTAAACCCAGTTTCTGTTCTGGAAGCTGCTAGGAAAATCAAACCACAGACCTTAGCCCCACAGGAAAACTGATCTTGTTGAAACAACCCAGCTCAGGGATAATTGGGGCGCTCGCTGGTGTTCGTAGGAACTTGTGTGCCCGAGGAGCTAGAAAAGTCTCCGTACCTTATTCCCAGCGTGGACTCTTAATGTATTTTACAGGTATACTCTGTGTAGGCCCATAAAGGGAAAATAGCTCCCAAAATAAGACTGACAAAAATCTAAGAACCTGGTGAGGGTTACTTCAGCTACAACCTGAAAAATATGAGGCTTAAAAAGTTGGCTACGGCACAGCATTACAGATGCACATCGTGTCTGAGTGCTGTTAATTTTGAAATCAGAATATAGTTTTTGGCTTGTGTTTTACAGTACTGACTTTTTACATAATACACTCATGATTAAATTAATGTGCTTCGATATAATTTGATAAAGATCGATTTTAAAGTAAAATTTAGTTTTTCATTGTTTCCATTCTTAACTTCAGAGGTTATTGTTCTAGAAGGAGCGATCACCATCTGTGTCTAATAAAATTACACACCAGAATCATGCCTTTTAGGATCACCAGTATTTCTAATAAAACAATAAAACTTTACCATTATGCTGGCTGGATTGAAACAGTGGTGTCAATGACCTTGAAAGTGAAGTCACTCTCTTCCACACGTGGGGTTAAAGCCGGGCTTGAACGAGTGCAAGGGCTGCCATTGGAGTCAGAAGTGCCTCTTCGTGCATCTGAGAGGTTTGAAAACAATCAGAACAATTCATCGCATCTTCCAGACTAGTGATGCTGCCTTTCCTGGAGGATTGACTGGTAAAATGGGAAGCTCTTTTCCTCTGGTGGTCTTTTAGCCTGTATTTGGTAAATTAGGAAAAAGGAGATGCGGTAGTTTGAGGACAAAATGTAACTTCTTTTGTTATATTTGAAATCGTGTGATATGAATCATAATGAGATCAGAAACTGTTTAAGGGGCCCTCTGCCCTAGGGAGCTGTCCAAGGGACCAGTTTTCCTAGTAGAAAAGCAGGAATAGAGGGAAAGGGTTGGAAGTGTGTAGCGGTTGAATGGTCCAGGCCCAAGACCATAACTGAGTCTGACTGCGCCGGGGAGGGGTTAGTCTGGAAGTTGCTCGGCTTCCACAGTGACTGAGACAAATTCAAAGAGGATCAGTAATGTCCTGATTCCTGGCACTCTCGTTAGAGGCTGAAGGATAACTTGAACAAGATTTCCTGGGTGCCTAGAAGATGCCAGAAGGAACCCTGGTGGCCTCAAGTATTGGGCAGCAGTTGGAACCCACCAGCGGCTCTGCAGGAGAAAGATGGGTCTGTCGTCTCCCCCAGTAAAGATTAAGTCTTGGAAACCCAATGGAACTGTGAGTCAGAATGGCAGGAGAGTTTAATTAGAAGACGTGATGATTCTAGAACTGATCTCTTGCAATAGAATTGACAATAACAAATATGGCTACAAAATCATAGAAACCTTTATGAACCAAAAAAATATCAAAATGTGAAACTTTTGCTTCTCAATAAAGCTTTCATCTAGGTCTATACACTCAGATGAGACTACACACTCCACCTCTCTAACCTCCCCAAAGAATTCCCGCTCTTCAGTTTATACTGTATCAACCTGTGCCACTCTTGAGGCACTCAAATAGTGTTCCTTTAAAACGTTGAGTTTGGGAAACAAGGGGTTTAAAAGAGCCAGGCCCGGGCTGTGGGGTGGGTAAGGTTTCCCGATGAAATCCTCCCAGGACAGCCTTTGCCGCCCTTGAAGAGTGAGCAGGGATGTTGTCTTGATGGAGAAACAATCCTCATGCGACGTTCCTGGCCTTTTTCTCGCAAATCCAGTTTTCAGTTACCTTAAAACGTCATAGTAAACTCCCATGATCCTCCTGTGCCCGTTGAGGAATTCTATCAAGATTACCTCTTGGGAATCCCAAACCATCATAACCTCTGAACTGACCTCTCTGCTTGGAATCTAACCTAGTGGATCCTCTTAGATGCCGTTGTTTTGATTGCTTTCGTTCGAAGGCACCCTGATAAGACCAATTCCAACATCCTTCCACCACATTTAGATGTTTGTTTCAGCAGAACCCCTGTGCCCGTTAAATCCTTAGGTAGTGCTGCTGTGTGTAACAGATACCATATGAATGTAGCTTGAAGGAACAGAATTTTGTTTTCTCACAGTCCAAATTGGGATCTTGGCCCTTTTGTCTGGAGCTGTAAGGGATTGAATTATGTCCCTCCCAAAGATGTGTTGGCATCCTGACCCCTCTCTGTACCTGTGAATATAATCCCATTTGGAATGAGGGCTTTCTTTATTAATGAAGGCTTATTCCTATAGGACACGCCCTAAATCCAGTAGATTCTGAGGGATCAAGAAAACAGTGTAGGGACAGCCACGGGGGACGGCAAATGCCATAAGGAGATTGCCAAGAAGACCACTAGAGAAACTGAGCAGAGGACTTCCCAAAAGCCAGCGGAGCCTGCCTCCTTCTAGAGCGAGTGCCCTGAATTTACACCTCTCATCACCTAAACTGAGAAAATAAATGGTTAAAGTCACCCACTTGTACTACTTCATATAATTATATTGGGGCTCTTAGAGCTCTTAGGACAATCCATACGTCAATTTTATCAAGCACTAACAAACACCTGAAGGCTATCACCCCAGGCATCCTTGGTTTCTTGGCATTCCTTGCCAAGTAGCAAACCTCATGGCATCTGTGTGTGCCTGTGCCTGGCATGTTTCTCATTAGTAACTAAGAAGTGATTAAATGTAGTGCTCACTCTATTTGGATATGGCCTAATTAACCATGCAGGGGAGCTCTAGTGGTGTAGCGGTTACGAGTTGGGCTGCGATCCGCATGGTCTGCAGTTCGAAACCACCAGCAGCTTCCTTGGAGGAAGACTGGGCTTTCTACTCCTGTAAACAGTTACAGTGTCAGAAACCCACGGGGGGGTCACTGTGAGTCAGCATTGACTCGATGGCAGTGGGAGAATTAAAAGTACAAGGGCCGACCGTATTTCGGAATAGATAAGTGCGGTTAAATGAATTCCAGCTCATGGCAACAGATAGAGTGGATGGCCCTATAGGGTTATTATTATTATTTTACTGTAATCTTTATAGAATTAGATTGTTGGGCTTCCTCTTATAGAGCCAGTGGGTCGGTCTGAATCACCAAACTGTTGGGTGGCCGCCCTGTGCTTAAAGGTTACAGTACAGGAGTTCCTTTTTTATGTCATTAAGGGCCAGCATTCCCACACATGGGAAGCTTCATAAAGCTCATGGGGAAAAAAGAATGAAACAAGGTAGAAATTTCCCCGTGAAAATTTGAAGCCCCCTTGTATTTTGGAGAGTTACAATTCAATCCATAACAAAGACTATAAAGAACCTGAAAAATAAGTTAGTAATCTGTGGACTTTGACGTTTCAATGACCTTTGACAAGGCTCCCTTCTTATTTGTTAAACAAATTGAGATTATGCCATCCTGCAAATGAGAGGAGTGCAAAGAGAAGGAAGACTTATTAAGGCCAAACCCTGGCAAGTTCCCTTTTAAACACTTGTAAACACACTTTGCCTTTGGGCACAGCAACTGCCACATCGCTGGCTAATGGTCAGAAAGAACTCCAATAGCGGTTGAATTTATGCCAAGACTCAAAACGTAGCCAGAGCTCTTGCTGTCAGCCACTCCCTGCCATTGAGTCCATGCTGACTCATAGCACCCCCTGTGGGTTTCCAGTTCTGTAACTGTTCACCAGAGTGGAAAGCTCCGTCTGTCCCCCATGGAGCTGTTGGTGGTTTCATTAGGCCTACCGTACAGATTGCAGCCCAAGTAACCACAGTACCACCAGGGCTCCTGCTCTAACCATAGCCTTCCAAATAACAAGTGCTTTAGAGTTTAAATCCTGGTATATTTCCTCCTCTGATCATGGATTTTATTAAATGTCCTTTGACCAACTTTGGTTGGTGTGCTGCCTTCTGCATGGACTGGTTGATAACTCCTTTCGATGACTGTTTTAGGACCTCAAACACTATTCTCATAGCCAGACAGCATCTATTTCCTTCACATGACTTACTGTAGCATCCAATCTTCACTGAGTACCTTCTGAGGGTAAATATCTAGCAGGGCCACGTTATGAGAACTACTTGTTCTGGGATTAGGCCATACATATTAAAAGTGGAAGCTCAAGCCCATTCATGCAGGCTATTTAGGAGGGAGCGCTTCCATTTATAGTTGAATTTCATGGGCAGCCAAGTAGCTTCCTGAGGAATTATAAGTGTGTTAGACTGAAGTCTAGAAAATCAAAACTAGTGACACTTTGTATGTGTATGCATTTAGAAAGAGATTTATATCAAGAAATAGTTCACACAATTGTAGAAGTGGGTGAGTCAAGTCCAGTTCAAGTTCATGGGTTAAATGTAAGCTAAAGGCTTATCCTGACTCCTGTAGCTGCGGGAGCTGGTGAACAAAAGACGACGACCACAGCTAATGGCTGCCAAACGGAATAAATCCAAAATTGGCCAAATGAATCCAAGTTCTGCAGTCCACTGATAGCTCCTGGTGTCAGCAGGTGATACAAGGGAGGAGGATGAGCCAAATGCAAGGTTTAAATCTTGCAGTAGAAGTGAGCTAGCAACGATGAAATATACAACTTTCCTCTAGTTCCGAAATGCTTCCTACTCCCTACCCCCCACTGTCATGATCCCATTTCTACCTTACAAATCTGGCTAGACCAGAGGATGTACACTGGTACAGATAGCAACTGGAATCCCTTCAGGACCAGTGGTGAGAGTGGCAATACCGGGAGGGTAGGGTGGAAGCGGTGAACCAATTACTAGGATCTACAGATAACCTCTTCCCTGGGGGATGGACAACAGAAAAGTAGGTAAAGGGAGTGGGTAAGATGAAAAAGTAATTAAAAATTGTCAAGGGTTCGTGAGGGAGGGGGGTGCAGGGAAAGAGAGGGGGAAATGAGCTGATACCAAGGGCTCAAGCAGAAAGCAAATGTTTTGAGAATAATGATGGCAACAAATGTACAAATGTGCTTGACACAATGGATGGATGTATGGATTGTGATAAGAGTTGTACGAGCCCCCAATAAAATGATTTAAAAAGAAGTGAGCTGCATGCTGTCGATTGATTCTGAAAGTAGACTACCCCTGAATGAGATCTTCAGTTAATGTGCAGGCTATGACTAGATTAAGGAGGTGTGTTACGCCAGGTTGACTACAGAAACAAATTCAGAGCTTTATATCAAGAAGCTTTATATATCAGGAAAACAGCTCAGTCCCACTCACGTTCGTATGTCTGATCCTAGTCCACAAAGTCCCTCTTCAGACGCATACAGTCACAAGCAATGATGCAGAATGTGGGCCGGTGGGTGCAAAGTCTTGTAGATCCAATGGTGGTGGACACATTTCCAGGGCTTTGGCCACCATCAGGGTCACCCAGCAGGAAGATGAAGGTAGAGAGAGGGGGAGGTTCCCAGAACCCTCCTTATGAGAAAGCCATGTCCACAAGGAGGCCCTATCAGGCTGTGACCTGACTGAAAGGCTAGACTGCACCCCTACACTTTTATATCTTCAAGTTGACATGAAATTATGTAACTA